TGGAAGCAGACCAGTGACTGTGCAATGAGCACTGACAGGTGAAGATCTGTGGACAGATGTCACAGTGTGACTCTCTCTGTCACACTCGGTCACTGCAGCTTCCATCAGGAGATCTTTACGTCTTCTCCTTTTAATATTCTCTTACATTTTTCTTTTTTTTCTTAAATTTTGTTTTATTGGTGCAGGTTTATTAATGGAGGGAGGATGTGAAGTACTGGGGACATGAATGTGATCAAGATATGGGATATAAAAGACATAGAATGAATAAATTAATGAATAATGAGTAAATAAATAGAGAAATAATAAGTAATAGAGGAAGAGCATACAGGGCAAGGGCACATACTCACCCTCAACAATGAAATTTAGATATTTTTCAGAAAACAGATACAACTGAGGATGACTGTGTTGTGTATGACAGGTGTGTCCCAAAGGACAAATATCACTATCTTCTTTCATATTTAAAATCGGGAGTTTCGTAGGGGCCGTAACATGAACAACAGAACACTGGCACAGTGGTCTTCCTGGCCTGGTCCACAATGTTCTTGGGAGGGCTGATCACTTCTCCCATCACAGAATGTCCGGAGTGGGTGCACAGAGTCCTAGTTAGATCTGAATTAAGAAACCTGCAGCCCTGGGCTCTCAATTACCTGGGAGTATGAACAAGGTTGATTGGCATAAAACACAGTTCAAAGTGGTTTTGACAAGTAACGAAAGCTCTCTGGGACCCATGGGTAAGACTAACCATGGAAGTCAGCAGCCAAGCAGACAGAATCTGGGGGCCAGATGAGTGGAACTGGAAGCTCCTCTGTAGACTATGTGGCTTTGTGCCCTGCTTCTGCCATTGGTGTCCTTAAAGTGAAAGCCCTGCATTCAACATCCCAAAACAGGCACCAGCTGTCTCAGTGACCCACCTTGAGTCCTCAGCTGTGATCTCATGGCTCAAATGGAAAGAACTCAATCCATCAGACCAGGTAGCCAGTCTGGACTCTCCTGATTGGACAGGTTGAAGTCATGGGATGTGTGCCTGGATGGCAGTGGGAATCCTGAGATAAAGGATTAGAAAGTAGCCTCTGCATGCTCTGTGCCTTGTTTCCAAGGATGTATCACTAGGGCATACCTCCCCCAGCGCACTGACCGGGGTCCCCAGAAGAATTCATGACAGCAATTCTCACCTGCAGGTATCTGTTCACTGGTGGACATGGACTTCTATTCTGAGGGTTAGAATTGGAATTTGCTGTTGTTTGTAGTCCATCCTGGATAACAGAACCTTCAGTTCAGTCCCTGACACTGTCAGGATGAAAGAAGCACAGAATTGTCTCCTTCCGCCTCAAATGTTTGCAGGAATTTACCATTGATGCTATCCAGCACTTGAAGACAGGCATGTGAGTCCACATCTGTAAACGCTGAAGTCAGGAAGCAGAGAAGGGGGTCCATCACTGTGAGTTTGAGAACTGCATGTTCTACAAAGAGTCTCTCAGGATAGCCAGGGCTATAGAGTGAGACCCAATCTTAAAAAAAAAAACACACAAATAACTATAAAATGAGGATTCAAGAAATTTCCTTATCTCATTTCCAGAATTCAACAGACTCCTCTACCATGTCTAAAACTCTGCCTTCACTGATGTGCCACAGAAACAGAGCCTGTCACCAGGTGATACCCACAAACTGAAAATTTCTCTCTCTCTGATCAAACTGACTGGATCTTGTTGTGTGCGCATGGGACTCACCAGAGGATCAGGGATCTAGAAGTAAGTGACAGTACAAGATGGCTCTCATCCTGCTGGGAAGATCTGGTCAAAGCCTGTAATATACATCAGTGTTTGTTAACAGGCCAGGATCAGACGGTCAGAATGGAGCTGGTGGCCAACTACAGCAGAGAAGCTGGCTCCTCCCTTGTCACACCTCTGCAGTCTCTCAGTCTCCCATTGCTCTTCAGTTGAGCAAATCAATGATAACTTTCCTGTGTGTCATGGATCCTGGCACAGGGCACTTCATGGGATCATTTTCAGCACATCAAGACCAGGCTTCAGAGACTCATCTTCTACCACCAACAGATACTTACTGTACTCAATCTTACCTTCAGGTGCAGGATTCACACAGATTAGTACCCTGGAGTCCCAGTTTAGTTCATTTTCTCTTGCCAAATCAGTGAGTTGCTCCCTAGTGAAAGGTGTCCTGGAAACCAGTTCAGACACTACACTGACCATTGCTTCACACTGCATCAGTGACTGTCATCAAGAGATCCATGATGATCAAGGTTTGCTTGTAAGCCTGACTCCAGAGGTGGGCGTTGGTCATAGAGAAGTCCCGTGGCTCTGGTCTTGTAAAGTCAGTACTCAGTATCAAGCCTGACAATGTCAACTTACCTTCCCACGCTGGAGCAGAACAATGTTAATGGAAGGTCAAATATCAGGTATAAATCCTTCCATGACATGGGAAAATGATGCAAGATTCTTAAGAGGTGGGAGGTAACATGGGAAGTCCGGGTAAAGGAGGCTGTGGAGACAATGACAATGATGTCATCAGATCTGCCAAAGGCCATGTCAGACAAGACCAGAAGAGGACCCCACTGAATGATGGAGCCACCCTAACCACACC